GTGGAAAGAAAGTGTAGTGATATTGCCAGGCAGTCTTAAGTGTGCCTGGCACAAAACTGTGGTGAGCCCACTCAGTCAGTTTTCAATATGTTCAGCTGTTTCAGTTAGAGACAAGGAAAAGGAATACCTTGCAGTTCAACCGGGGTTGGGTTTTTGCCTAGTGGATATGATAGACCGCTAAGAGGTGAAAGAAAGTGGTGTGACTTTAACAGTGTTGGTTTCCTGTTGCTGCTACAACAAATTACCACAAATTTAGTGGCTTAAAACAACACAAATTTATTATATTACAGTTCTGGAGGTCAGAAGTCCAAAATGGGTCTGACTGGGCTAAAATCAAGGTGTCAGCAGGACTGCATTTCTTTCTGGAGGCTCTGGGGTAGCTGTTTCCTTAACTTTCGCAGCTTCTAGAGGCCACCCACATTCTTGACTCATAGTCCCCCTCCTTCATCTTCAAAGCCAGCAACATCAGGCCGAGTCTTTCCCATGCTGCCATGTCTGTGGTTCTCTCTTCTGATTCCCACTCCCACTTTTAAGCACCCTGGCAATCGTATCGAGCCCATCTGGATAATCTAGGATAATCTCCCTCTCCTAAGGCCAGCTGATTAGCAACACTAATTCCATCTGCAACATTAATTTCCCTTTGCCATGTGACACAACATATATTCACAGGGGATTAGGATGTAAACATCTTTGGGGAGGCCATCATTTTGCGGACCATGGAGTGACTGTAACAATACATAATGGATGGAATCTAAACTGGGTAAGGAGGCAAATGGAGAAAACAGTGGGCAGACAAAGAGTAAAAAATTGGTGAGGTCAGTGGCTTGGAGAGGTAATCTCATGGGAATGAGAAATGGTAGCAGTGGAGTAGAAATATCCTAACTGATGCCATTTCTGGTGATGCAAAAGGCTAGTGTAGGACTGTGGGGGTGAGTATCTGGTGTAAGGTTGTAGAAAAAATCAGGTGAGGAGGTCATGGCTGCGGAATTCCAGTGTGTGGGATGGGTCATCCCTGTGGATGTTAAAGTCACCAAGAATGATGAACAAACGTCAACGTAGGGAGGACAACTGAGCCTGCAAGGAAAGGCATTAGTGTCACAAGCCAGGCAAGCCTGTGAGTGAGAATGGCCCTTTGGTGCTGCAAACTCAACCAGGACCAGGGCCTGGTGAGGCTGTGGTTCCTGCTCAACGGGAAGGATGGAACCCTGATGTGCAGCTCCACTCCCAGAGGCTGATCTCCAGGTCACAGAGTCTGTTTGGTGACCCCCTTGGGACATGGGAGGCAAGGTCAACTCCCAACCATCCCCTGCCCCCTCCTGTGGCTACCACGAGCAGCAGAGGGTACTGAGCTTGGCGACCCTGGGCTCTTTCCCCTAGTCTCTATGAGTAGTCTGCAGGAACAACTACAGGGGAGAATTGCTTTTTCTTTTTAATTTATTTTTTATTGTGGTAAAATATATATAACATAAGGATTGCCAGTATGGAGGTTCCTCAAACAACTACAGATAGAACTGTCATATGATTCACTAATCCCACTACTGGATATATACCCAAAAGAATGCAAATCATCATGTTGAAGGGATACCTGCACTCCAGTGTTTATCACAGCTCTATTTACAATAGCTAAGAGTTGGAGCTAACCTAAATGTCCATCAACAGATGACTGGATAAGGAAAATGTGGTATATATACACAATGGAATATTACTTTGCCGTAAAAAGAAATAATAAAATTCTGCCATTCACACCAACATGGACAAAGTTGGAGAAAATTAAGCCCTAGGCAGGTAGAAGAGTCACACCATTAATGGTGACAATGATTCCAGAGCCCTTTGATTCATTTGATAAACATTTATCAAACACCTACCTTGTGCAGAGGGCCCTGTGACAGGCATCATGGGTGTTACAAACTTGAGGAAGGCCTGGACGGTCCCCCTAAAGGGCCTGTGCTTTCGTAGGAGAGCTGAACCATATCCACACACATCACTGTAATTCCAGATGGCCTGGGGCAGGGGGAGCAGACAGAGAAAAGAATGCTGCCCGGAGGTGGTGAGTTTGAGTCAGGCTGTAAAGGAGAGCTTTGGACTGTTCTTACTGGGGTGTTCCCTGCCATCTCTGACATTAAATGGTAATCACTTCAGTTTGTGTGGTCTTGGGTTCCTCCCCCTGTCCCACCCTGTTCCTAATGATGGGTCTGCAAAGGGAAAAGACTTGGCCACTTTTGTTGACCGACAGAGGGAGTGAGGCGGGGAAAGAGAGAACCTTTCCCTAAGGAAATCTGAAATCCTGGGGCGTGCCAACTTCTCGGTTTGGGGAAGATCAGATGTCATGGGTGGATGAAGGACAGGCAACAACTACGTAGCAGAGATGGAGAGTGTGACCTCTTGGTTGAGTCTGCATCCCCAGGTAGGCTCAGGCAGATGACCATGGTTATGAAGACTGTACCATGGACTTCTTGGTCTACTCAGGTTCTTGATAGATTGAATGATGCCTACCCACAGTAAGGAGGGCAACCCACTTTATTCAGCCTACCAATGTAATTGTCAACCTCTTCTGGAAATACCCTCACAGACACACCTAGAAATAATGTATAAAGCTGAACCAGATATCAGAGTATTTCATGATCAGTCAACCTTACACACACACACACACACACACACACACACACACACCTGCCACCGTTCATGCTGTTTCCTTTACCTGTAGTGACCTCCCTCCTCACTGTCCTTAACTGCCAGTTAAACTCCTAGTAATCATTCAGAACCTGTTTGAAATGCCTCCTTATGAGCACCTTCCCAGGCACCAACCCACTTCCTTCCTCCCCTCCTTCTAGTTCATAATTCTCTCTCCTGTGCTCCCGTAGCACGTTGTACTCATCCCCATTTTAGCGTTTGACATCTTGCATCATCATTGTCCAAGTGTCTGTCTCTCCTTCTAGACCATGAACTAGGGTAAGCCAGCAGTCTTAGGCATCTGTGAGTCTTTACCCACTAGCACAACTCCTAGCATATAGCAGATGCTCAATATACACCCAGTGAATGTTTGAATGACTAAGGTCTGGAATGTTTGCCCCGCAGTTTCATGAGTTGACAGATGTTATTAACATTGCTAGGTTGCTGTTTATTCGAGGAGTCCATGCTATTCAAAGTGACAGAAGAATTAGTCTCTATGAGTAGTCTGCAGGAACAACTACAGGGGAGAATTGCTTTTTCTTTTTAATTTATTTTTTATTGTGGTAAAATATATATAACATAAGGATTGCCAGTATGGAGGTTCCTCAAACAACTACAGATAGAACTGTCATATGATTCACTAATCCCACTACTGGATATATACCCAAAAGAATGCAAATCATCATGTTGAAGGGATACCTGCACTCCAGTGTTTATCACAGCTCTATTTACAATAGCTAAGAGTTGGAGCTAACCTAAATGTCCATCAACAGATGACTGGATAAGGAAAATGTGGTATATATACACAATGGAATATTACTTTGCCGTAAAAAGAAATAATAAAATTCTGCCATTCACACCAACATGGACAAAGTTGGAGAAAATTATCTTAAGAGAAATAAGCCAGGCACAGAAAGAGAAATACTGCATGTCCTCACTCATAAGTGGGAGCTAAAAAGAAAGAAACAAAAAGAAAGAAAGAAAGAAACAAACAACAATTACAATAATGTGTCAAACTTTCAGAAGAAGAGAAAAGAACTGAAGTTACTAGAGGTGGTAAAGGGGGAGGGGGAAGTGGGTTAGCAAGAAATTGGTAAAGGGCCACAAAAAGTGATAACGTTGTGCAATGTTGAATATACTAATTATCCTGATTTGAGCATCACATATTGCACCAAGGTATGGATATTTGACTCTGTACTCCACAGATAGGTACAATCAATTGTTTCAATAATTTTTTTAAAAAGTTAAAACAAGGAGTGATATCACCATTCCCACACAAATGTGTAGTAGATATATTATCCAAGCTCAGACTAAAGTTTCAGTAGTTTTTTTCTCAGACCTCTATCAAGTACACAGGAAATTTTCATTTGAGGAACTTCCACCTAAACTTCAATTGTAGGTGATTAATTTGCAATGTAATGACATGCTAAAAGGCAAATACCAAAAGAAGAATCTAATAGAATTCTATAAATGCCTTCCAAGAGATGAATATGCTCAATTAAAATAGTATGCTTATGGATTGATATTGGTATGTGGAAATATCTATCTCTTATGTGATACCAGTATTTGCTAATATCTATCTGTGTAAAAAAGATATTTTCAAAAATGAACTATGTAAAACCTCATTACACATCAACAGATGAACATTTACAATCAATTTTGATGATAGATTGCACTAACACTGAACCCCAGTTAGGCAATTATACTCCCCAAAGAGTTCCATTCTTCTCATTAAAAAGCAATTATTATAATAGGTTCAACAATAAAATGTTTGCAGGAATTTGTTTTCTCTTTTGTTTCATAAGTACTTACATAATAGACTCAATTTTGCCTCTGGGCCCCACAGAACCTAAAATGTTTACTCTCTGCCCTTTACAGAAGTTTCCCCACCCCAGGGTACCTCCAGATTGGGCCACTATACTTTTGCCAATAATCATAAAATTAAAAGGGCAGGACTAGTGTCGACCTAAGAGTAGCCTTGATCACTAAGGCCTCAAAGAAAAAAACAGGTGATTCTAGTAGTCATAGAACCTAAGGCCTTCGATCTTTCATTGGACGCAAGATGTGTCAATCTTCACTTTTCAGCAAATGAGCTTAGAGCTCACTATGAGTGGACAGGCCCTTTGTTGATGCTTCCTGGCCCCGCCCACCGTCACCTGCCTGACTGACAATCTTTCCCGCCTTGTCAAGCCGTCTCAGAGGCAGCCCTGGTGGGACGCTCCTGGGATCCTCTCCCTGTCCTTCCCATCATGGGGCCTCCTCAGGCACCGCCATAGACGCTTGTCTCCTCAGTGGTGGGCTTCTCTGTGACCTACTCTGCCCCACCTCAGGCCCCAGTACCGACGGCCTCTCCTCAGCCACAGCCACCTCAGTGGCCACCATCTTGGCTGCCCAGGTTGAGGTACTGCCCAGTGTCATGTCTGCCACAGGGGATGGAGACCCAAGCCATGGGGGCCCAGATAGCTCAATGAGCCTGGAAGGAGCGTGGGCCGGGGCAGCTGGAGCTGGTGAGGCAGTGGGCCACGATTTCGGCCTGGATGGGGGTGCCACGGCACCTGCGGCCACCCCAGCTAGAGTGACTGGGGTGGCCGGAGTTGCGGGGGCCATGGGAGGCCTCAGTGAGGAGGAGGGTGAGCAGGCCGGGGCCCTGGCTGTGATCCTGGAAGGCGAGAGCTCCAGCGAGATCACCGAGGACTCGGACTTCGGGCCAGTGCCGGAGGAGGACCAGGCTGAAAGATCAAATTTGGTCGTGGATGCCCACCAGTTCCCCATGGCGGGCTTTCGGTTGCTGTTCCTGGACCTGGTCCAATCGCTTCTCCACCGCATCTACTACAACGACTACATCCTGGTCCGCCCCCGCAGAGGCCGCGTGAACTTCAGGCGCCGTCCTCGGGCCCGCGCTGCCGTGGCCGAGCCACCTATGCCCCCGGGGCCCGAGCGGCCTGGGTTGAGGGCTGCCTCCCACGAGGGCGGGAGCCAGGTGATTGCGTCCTTCCTAGGGCCTAGTGTGTCGACAATCCAGGCCGCCAGGGAGACTACAGAGGAGGTCGAGGGCTTCGAGGGTGAGGAGCGGGCGAGGGATGGCGGGAGAGGCACTGGCCGACTGGCAGGGGCTAGAGGCAGGGACCCGTGCAGCCCAGGTGGGGCCGGGGCCAGGAGGCCGCCTCCTCGGTCTCCTGCAGCATCCGGTGCTCACGGGCCCTGCTTGGCGCGGGCCGCGGGCGGGAGAAGCGGTGGGGCGGGCTCTCCTCAAACTTGAGGCCGAATGAGTAGAAGCCCAATTCTAACGATCTGTACAGTTTGGAGGAAACATATGCTGCCCTCTCCCAACATGCGTTTACTAGGAGACCTGAGGTCATCAGTGCAGTTTATGAGCCCACAGATGAGTGTCAGTGGGAGGCGGCTGCTCAGGAGGGAGCTTGGGAGGAGCCGCAAGGGAAGCCCGAAGGAAAAGGACAAGGGAATGGCATACCCCAGTTTTGGCTCGTGGCTTTTAAAAATGTAAAGAATTTTAGAAAGCTGATCCCCCAAAATGATGAACCGATACAGGAGCATTTAGTAAAAATAGAATATTCAGGGGGTTGAGGAACCAATGAGCTTCACCATAGAATTTGTCTTTGAGATAAGTATTTTCCCAACAAAGTTCTGACCAAAACATATAGACTGCCGTCAGACACAATCATTCTGGTCCCTTCTCCAAAGGACCCGAAATGATCAGTAGCACTGGGTGGGAGATTTACTGGAAAGGGGGAAATAATGTCATTGTGCAAATGATCCAGAAGCAGATATATGAGGGACTACTTTAGCTATTCTTTTCTGCTGTACCGGGTTGGGCACGTTCTGGTTGGAAGATACCCAGCTATTCTTTTTTTTTTAAAGATGACCAGTAAGGGGATCTCAACCCTTGACTTGGTGTTGTCAGCACCACACTCTCCCAAGTGAGCTAACCAGCCATCCCTATATAGGGATCCGAACCCGTGGCCTTGGTGTTATCAGCACCACATTCTCCCGAGTGAGCCACAGGCCGGCCCCCCAGTTATTCTTTTTCTTAGTTGCTTCTATTCTGCTTCTCCTGAGGATAGAGTATTGGGTGTTGCTGCTGGTTATGAACTGGGCTGTGTTTTCTTGTGAATGTCTGGTCCCAAAATCTGTATTATTCTTCACTAAAAAAGCAACTGAATATGAGTTTGAATACTGTGATGAAGAGGCCCGAGTTGCTGGACGTGAGGAAGAGCAAGAAGCAGAGGAACAAAAAGAGAACGAAAACACAGAAGAAGGACCTGAACAGGACCAGGACCCAGCAGAGGGCAGGAGTGGAGCATCCAGGTATCTGCCTATAGCTTTGAGTATCACTCAGCCACTCCTGGCACTCACCTGTTATTGACAGATTTTTAAACATTCTCCCAGTAAGTTAATTTTTAAAAGTTTTAAGATTCGTTTAAAAATTCAGTTTAACTTAATTAGAACGTCACTAGAATATTCATGTACCTAGTAATATAAAATGCAGTGTCTTCTGAAATATACTTCGTGGTTACTCATTTGTTTTTGTGAGATCTTTTGTCCTCTAGCCGTTAAGACTGCTAACAAGTGGCAAATGTATCAGACCTAGTACCTGAGACCAATATGTTTTTAGAAAACGGTTACCAGAAGCAGCAGCTAAGGTGGCTGAACCATGTGTTTGTTGGGCCTTCATTAATCAGCCATGGAATTCAGTCTCCTGTACTAACTAGGAGACTACACCTTTTAGAATGTGACTACTTACAAATTTTTTCTCATTTTTCCCATAGTTGAGAAGAAGAGAAAGAAAAGGATGAAGAAAGAAGAAAGAATCCATTCTTCACTCTTTAAGTTTTCTGTGTTTAGAAGCCCAAAGGAATTTCATTAACCCCGATTTCATTCCAAAGTTCGTCACCCCAAAAGTAACATCCAACATTCTCTTACAGATGTATTTGACAGACTTGGCATAAGTTTAAAATAAAAAAAAAAAAAAAGGTTGTTTTAAATAAACTGAAATACCGGCAATTTTTTTCAAAGTAAATAACACTCAAATTTATGTTTTACCTCTTTTTGTTTTGGCTCACTTTATCTTCATTTGAAAGAGATCACTCCCCACCATTTGGTAATCTTATTTTAAATTCTTTTATTGCAGTCCAAATAATTAAAATGTCAAGCTTAAGACAGTTTTTGTAAAGAGAGAGATGGAAGTCAAGCCTTTAGTTAAAGCTGGGCTGTCCCCTATGTTAGTCACTAGCTGTAAAGCTACACGACTATGCCAGCTGTTGAGTAAGGCAAATCATAAAGCCAAAATGTTTCATTATTTTAGTTATACTAAGTTTTCATTTGTATTGTCAGGGCTAGGGCTCAGGCCCTTCAAACCCATTGTACAGACTGGGTCCCCAGACCCCTCCCATGCAGGTCCATGCTAGATAATTGGGAAAGATCCCGGGAGCCGTCAGCAGATGACACAAGCTCAGTCCTCAGCAACAGCAGCAGCAGCTTACAGGTCCAGCAGCTTACAGGTCTGGCGGTGGCAGCAGCCTCTTGGAGGGTCCCAGGGGCCCTAGTAGCAAAGCTTGCAGCAACAGCCTTCAGCAGCAGTAGTGGCCTCCTCATGGCCCCCATGGGGGAATCCCAGGGGCGGAGGTGCCAGGGATCAGAACCACCCATCCTTTATACTTAAGTCCATAACCCAGGACACCTGGGTACACACGCACAATTATGTTAGACACTAACCAAGGAACACCTAGGCGCACGTGCATATTTACACCAACGGCTTGGGAAGATTCTGAACATCTGAGGGGCCCTGACCATTTTCCTATATTTTCCCCACACTAGCCATGTGTGGCTACTGAGCACTTGAAATACGGCTAGTCTGACTTGAGATGGCTGTGTGAAAAATAATGTAAGATATCTCATTAATAACTAATTACATGTTGAAATAATATATTGCATCATACAAAACATAGTATTAAAATTACTTTCACCGATTTCTTTTTTACCTTTTTTTAATGTAGCTACTAGAACATTTAAATTACACATGTGGATCACGTTATATGTGTATTGGACAGTACTGTTCTAGAGCCTGGTTTAGAAGGAAACCTTGTGGGGCCGAACCCGTGGCTCACTCGGGAGAGTGTGGCACTGGGAGCGCAGCGGTGCTGGGAGCCCCGAGGCCGCAGGTTTGGGTCCTATATAGGGATGGCTGGTGCGCTCACTGGCTGAGCATGGTGCAGGCGACACCAAGCCAAGGGTTCTGATCCCCTTACCGGTCACAAAAAAAAAAAGAAGGAAACCTCATGGATGGCCCAGGTTGCCAGAAGGCCAGAAGGTGCTACTGAAACTGGGCCCAAACTTTGATTAGAGCATTTGTTCCCAAAGTGTAGTCTCTGGACTAGCATCATCAGCATCTCCTGAGAACTTCTTAGAAATGCAAATTCTCAGGCCATATCCAAGATCCCTGAATCAGGAACTCGGAGTGGGGCCAACAATCTGTGTTTAAATACCTGAAAATGTGGATGAAGTTTTGGAACTGGGTAATGGGCAAAGGTTGGAGGAGTTTGGAGGACTTAGAAAAAGAGAAAAAGACGAGGGAAAATTTGGAATGTCTTAGAGACTTATGAAGTGGTGAGTAGAATGCTGATAGAAATGTGGACAGTAAAGGCCATGTGGATGATGAGGTGTCAGAAATGAGGAACTTATTGGGAACTGGACAGAAGGTCATCCTTGCTATACCATAGCAAGGAACTTGGCTGCATTGTGTCCATGCCCTTGGACTTTGTGGAAGATGGGACTTAAGAGTTGTGAACCAGAGTATCTGGTGGAAGAAATTTCCAAGCAGCAAAGCATTAAGGACGCTGCGTGGCTACTTCTAACAGCCTACTCTGAGTTATGGTGGCAAAGGCATGGTGTAAAGCCAGAATTTAAAAGGGAAGCAGAGCGTAAAGATTTGGAAAGTTTGCAGCCTGCCCATGCGGTAAAGAAGCAGAGAGCCAGAGAACAATGCAAAGGTGTAGCAGATAAACTGGTTGTTAAAGACATTATCTTGGTGGTGAGGCAGCCAGATCCTAATAGCAGAGAAAATGAGAGGAAAGCCCTGCAGGCATTTGAGAAGTCTGGAAGGGTGTCCCACCCATCACAGGCCCTGAGGCCTAGAAGGACTGAGTTGACCCAGAGGACAGACCTGGGGCACAGCTGCCCTCGGGATCCTGCTCCCTGCATCCCAGCTACTCCAGCTGGAGCGGCCTCAAGTGTGGTTCGTGCAGCAGCCCTGGAAAGTAGAGGCCTGAAACCTCGGTGGCGTCCACGTCATGTTAAGTCTGCAGGCCGGCAGGACGTGAGAGTGGTGGAGGCATGGCAGCCTCCACCCAAATTCCAGAGGATGTATGGAAAAGCCTGTGGACCCAGGCAGAGACCTGCTGCAGGGGTGGAACCACTGCAGAGGTCATCTACTAGAGCAATGCCGAGCAGAAATGTGGGGTCAGAGTTGCAGCAGAGAAACCTCAATAGCATCATGCCTAGTGGAGCCATGAGAGTGGGACTGCCGTGGAGACCCCAGGTCTGTGGAGCTACCAGAGTGGAACACCAGCTTGGGAGAGGTGAAGTGTGGCCCAAGACCAGGAAAGCCATAGGAGCGGAGCTGCCCAAGGACTTGGGGACCCAACCCCCACACCAGTGTGCAGAGGCAGTCGAACATGGAATCAAGGTACCTGAATCTCCAGCCTTGAGATTTAATGCCTGCCCTGCTGGGTTTCGGACTTGTCTGGGACCTGTTTCTCCTTTCTTCTGGCCTATTCCTCCCTTTTGGAATGGAAACGTATACCCAATGTCTGTTCCACCATTGTATCTTGGCAGTAGATAAATTTGGTTTTCACTTTTACAGGTTCACAGTTGGTAGGACTTTTGCTTTTGGTCTCAGAGGAGACTTTGGACTTTGGACTTTTAAGTTGGTGCTGGAACAAGTTAAGACTTTTGGGACTGTTGGGATAGAATTTTGGGATAGTATTTTGTATGTGAGCATGACATCAGTTTTTGGGGGCCAGGGCGGAATGATGGAGTTTGAATGTGTTGTCCCCTCCAAAACTCATGTGGAAATTTGATCTCCAATGTGGCAGTGTTGGAAACTGATTGAGTCATGGGGGCAAATCCTTCATGAATGGATTAATGCTCTACCTCGGGGAGGGGGGATTAATGAGTGAGTTCTCGCTCTATTAGTTCCCATGAGAGCCTGTTGCTTAAAAAAGACCCTGGCACCTTCTCTCTCTCTCTTGCTTTCTCTCTCTTGCTTCCTCTCACCGTGTGATCTGCTCATACCCACCAGCTGCCTGCCACTTTCCGCCATGAGTAGAAGCAGCCTGAGGCCCGTGCCAGATGCAACTGTCCCAGAATCATAAGCCAAATAAACCTCTTTCCTTTATAAATTACCCAGTCTCAGGTATTCTGTTATAGCAACACAAAACGGACTAAAATATTCTGATACATGCTAAGGTTTGAGAACCACTTTTTAGAGCAATAGGAGAAAAAGCTGAGCTTCACCTACTGTCAGACCAGCCTTAATTTACTGGCTTGGCACTGTTGCAGGTAAACTGAACAGGATGGCAAGGGCTGGGCTGAAGAGGAGACTAGAAGACTTCCGGTCAAGATAGCGGAATAGATGGTCCCTAGCATCACTCTCTCCCACAAATCAACCGATTTAAACTATAAAAACATAACATCAAGCACATATGTAATGGGGAGACGTCCAGTGGGGGAGGCAGAAGCTCCGCAGAGACCACGTGCCCTGCGGGGCTGCCGTCGCACAATCTGGCAGATAGGCTTCACCGCCGCCACCCGGCTCCATTCCCAGCCCAGCCCAGTACACACAGAGTGGGGAGATGTCAGGCAGGGGAGGCGGAGGCTCTGCAGAAAACACACACCCTGTGGGGCTGCCACTGAGTGATCCAGCAGGTAGGCTTCACCAGAGGAACCCAGCTCCATTCCCAGCCTGGCGTAGTGCGCTCAGAGCAGGGAGACGTCCGGCAGGGGAGGTGGGAAAACCAAGGGGACCACACTGCTGTAGTGCGATCCAGCAGCCCAGCCCAATGCGTATGGAGCACAGAGACGTCCAGCAAGGGAGGTAGAAGCTCTGTAGAGTCCACACACCCTGTGGGGGGGGCCACCTCCACACGATCCAGCAGCAGGCAGGCTTTACTGCTGCCACCTGGCTCCATCCCAAGCCAAGCCCAGCGTGCGTAGAGCAGGGAGACATCCTGCAGGGGAAGGGGAAGGTCTGCAGAGACCACACACTCTTCGGTGCCTCAGTGCATCCCAACAGCTTGGGTCAGAGTGCACGGAACAGGGAGAAGTCCAGCATGGGAGGTGGAAGCTCAGCAGAGACCACACACCCTTCAGTACCACCCCGTGATCCAGCAGCCCGACAGAGTCCAAGCTGACCATAGAGGTAGCTCCCTGGAGAGGCGCAAGACCCAAGGCAACCACACATGCAAGGCACTAGTGGCCAAATGAGCAGTCTGTGAGGTAGCCATACCAAATTGGCAACCACAGCAACATCTTAGTCAGTCAATAGTGTCAAACCTGTGGACTGTGAAACCCCCTGCCACAATGAATAAACATCAAAGAAAAGA